GACGCAGTCAAATCAGAAATGGGAAGCACAAACACCACCTGCTAGCATGTCACATGGCTGCCTTTTTATTTTATTGTTTACAAAGCATGTGTCACAGAGTTTCATTGTATTTACAGAGGGTTATTGCAATTTGTGTTACTGTTTTACAGGGGGAAAAATTAGGCACAGAAAAGCAAGTGTCTTTCCCAAAGGCACAAATAAGGAGGGCCGGGACCACTCTCATCCCCAGTACTTTTGCTGTCTCTTGGCATGGGGAGTCCATGTTCAGGAGAAAGTTTGTTTACTGCCAGCTCTTGGCAGTAAGCCAAGGCTGTCACAAGGCTCCTGTTAGCAGCTGCTCATGGCTGGGAATGAGTGAATAAAGTCACCAGCCCTGCTTTGATGGCTTTTGTCTGGGTTGCCCTTGAGAATTCAGTTGCATCCTGCGCATGTGCCCCTCAGGCCTTCCCTGAGCCTCAACCCTGCCTGCACCTGCCTACTTAGTGTCCATCCTGCTCTTTGCTCTTGAGGGTCTCAGAGTCAAGACCCAGCACAGCTTCCTGGAAGTTAAAAAGCCTTTATTCATGCTCAGCAAGCATCCTAATTTAAGCATCATTTCTTCTTTAAAAGAAAGTCAGCAAAAAAGACCACAGTGCTCAAAGCCTCATCCTTCCTTCCCCTGGCGAGCACTGAGAGCTCTCTCTTGAAGCATGTCCCATCCCCTTACACCCACACAGGGTGACAGCATAGTACCATCTGTTACCAAGGTTCGCGCCTTTTTCCGCTGGGCTCTCCGAAAGTTGGATCATCCTGCTCTTCACGACCCTGATTTTCACGTCTCAAGCTGCCCCAAGGCCCAGGGAGCCAAGGTAGAAGTGTGTTTGAAATGGGATAAAGCCCTTGTTTGATTTTTGTTAGCAGCCCCAGCTTGAGAATCTCAGTCTGTTGTATGTCCACACTTCCTTGTCCCAAGCTCTGCATTTTCTTTCTTTATCAAAAAAGATCATCAATGTCTGCCATATCCTTCTGAGGAGGTTGGAAAAGATTATATTTACTTGCTAAACCTGAAACTGACTCTGAATGCTTGTATCAACCAGAGAGCACCCCTGTGTTCCCAGCCATTCTTGTCTCATTGACAGTTTTGACAGTTTAGCTCCTGCTACAGAAAAGGTGGTGGTGACCAGTTGCTGATAATACACGTTAGCTACCATTTAATTGAGCGCTCTCTTTGTTGCAAGCATTGTGTGTATATAATTTCATTTAATCCTCACAGCAACCTTTAAGGATAGAGAACATTTTCTTTCTTTCCTTTCCAGTCCAGGAAACTAAGAAATGCTAAGTTTATATGTGTTGCCCAGAGTCACATAGCCAACCAGTGACAGGATTCTTACTGAGCACCCCCAGCCTTAGTTCCTGGCCAGCCCTTGGTAGTAGGCATAGGGTTAACAGCTTCAGGGTTGTGCAGCAAGTACGCAGGCTGGTCTGTGACTCACAGTGCTATTCAAAGGGAAATAGAGGTGGGAATACAGCAGACAAACTCAGTTTCCTGAACCTGGTAACATTCTCACTATAAATGTAATAACCTTAAAGTGACAGATGCGCATTTTCCACCATGCAACAAAAGAAAAATTAGTACAGAGATTCAATTATGCCTCCCATTTTCAATGGCAATTTTGCTCTCTCTTGAAAGGTAAATTAGCAGCAGAGATCTCCCCCCAGGCAAATCATGGCACACTTTACAGCAAGAAGGTGCATCAAAATGCAGCTGTGTCTCATTATTAAGCAGCTGGCCTAACTCCATGCCAGGGGGCCTGCGTGCTTTGGCCTGGTCTTCTTGACCCCTGCCATAGAGGACTAGGGAGGCCTCTGATGTGGCTTGTGTTTAGCTGTCCCCCAAAGCCTCATGTAGTCATAGATGGGATTTTTTCCAAGGCAGCTGGATCTGAAGTATGTGATTGATTCATGGTGCCATACTGGGATTAAGGTGTGTGATTAGTAAATTGTCCACTGATTGGTTTAGCACCACCCTATTCCCGGTAGTCTGGATAAGATAAAAGGGGCAGGAAGATGCTGTTAAGGCCCCTTGCTTTTGCTGTCTGCCACAGCCATTTTGGCCCCTCTGCTATGTGCCACCCTGCCTTAGAGCCAGCCAATTGTGAAATGGAGCCTCTACAAATGGTGCGCTAAATAAACTTTCCCTCCTTGGGCATCAGTTACTTTGTCTTAGCAACAAGACAAGTAACTAAGACAAAATTTGGTACCAGAAAACTGAGGCTGTTACTGTGACTGTACCTGACCATGTGGTTCAGGAGTCTTTCAGAACAGCTTATGGGAAGAGTTTGAAAGATTCAGAGATGCCCCCTAAAAAGTGAAGCTGGTATACCTTAGGCTCTACTTGATGAGAGATTCTGATGAGAACTCAGAAAACCAGAAGTCAGATAGAAATCCTGCAGGTAAAGATCAGGCTCAGGAGGCTGCTGCTGGGACAAAGGACTGCATTGGCTGTTGGACTCCACATGATGTGTGTTATACTATCTTGGGAGAAAGTTTGCATTTTGCTTATGTTCAGAGATTTTGCCCGAGACTGAGATTAAAGGCAGCAGACTAATTAGTCTTATAGACTGCCATCAAAGAAATTTAAAGGCAGTCCAATGTTGAGGCAGTTGCATGACTGCTGGTAGGGACTTTTATTTGGCCATATCTATGTGGAGAACCAAGAGCAAAGAGTCAAGCAGAATGATTTTAAATGTTTTGAATCTGACCAAGAAGGAAGCTTCAGTAGAGCTGTGGACTGCAAAGATAGAGCAGAGATCTTGATTGCTGAGGAATAACAGAAGAATAGAAGAGATGGCCTGAGAACATCACAGGAAGCACCAGGGGTCTACCCTTACCAGCCTCAAAATTGCATAAGACTTTGCTTTGAGTAAAGAGTCCTAGAGCACCATCAGAATGGTGGCAGCCTAGAGAATTTGTTCCTTGAAATTGGATTCAGAGTACTGAACAATCTAGGCACTCAACCCCTACAGCCATGAGAGAGAGATGCCTAGCTACTGCTCCAGCTGACAACATCCATATGGTGGTAGTTTTTAGCCTCATGCAGAATGGAAGAGTTGTGAGGTCAGAAAAGCTTCCACCTGGATTTCAGAAGGCCTAGGAGGCCAAGCAATATGCCGCTGAGAGGCCAGTGCATGAAGCTGTGCAGGTGAGGCTAAAAGTGCAGTGGCAAAGCCAGGAACATGAGAAATAATGCAAGGAGGGAGCAGAGCTGGCCTGAAAGAGAAGCCATGGGTGCCACAACCACTGGAAGTGCTGTAAGGGCAGAGCCACCTGGGCCTTTGGAATTCACATCTTAGCACTGATTGCTTCAGATGCTTTGTGTGGAGCTATGAGACTTAATGTTTGTTGTCCTGAATTTTGGACTTGCTTCGGTCCCATTTCTTTGTATCCCCCAATGGGAATGGGGATTTGGTAATGGTAATGGTAATTTGTAACAAGTATGGTAATGTTTATCTTGTGTCATTGAATATTGGAAGTGTTTAACTTTTCATTTGTACGGATGTTTGTAGATAAAAAAGTTTGTTTAAATGTCAGAGAAGATTTTTGAACTTAAACTTTTTAACACTGCTGATAGGACTGTTGCAACTCATGAAGATAAACTAAATGCTTTTTGGGTAAAGGACTGTACATGAGTCTTTGCAGGGGACAGGGGCAGAATGTTATGGTTTATTTAGGTGTCCCCTCAAAACCTCGTGTTGGGGGCTGGGGATTTAGCTCAGTAGCATAAGCGCCTGCCTTGCAAGCAGGCAGTCGTGAGTTTGATCCCTGGTACCGATAAAAACGAAAAAATAAAAAAAACCTCGGGTTATCAGAGGTGGGGTCCTTCAGAGGTGATTATATCTAAAGTGTGTGATTGAGTCATGATACAATGCTGGGATTAAGGGTATGTGATTACTAAATCAGTCCACTGATTGGTTTAGCACCACTTTAATCCCCATAGTTTGGATAAGACAAAGGAGACAGAAAGATGCTTTTAAGGTTCCTTCCCTTGTTGCTTTTGCTGTCTTCCATCACCATAAACAGTTGCCCTCTGCTCTGTGCCACTCTGCCTGGAGCCAGTGGATTATGGATTGAAACCGCTATAGACTCTGAGCTAAATAAATCTTTTCTCCCTTAAGTTTGGGCATTGGCTATTTTGTCTCAGCAACGAGTAAATAATTAAGCAGCTTCATTTGCTGACCCTGGCCCCAATTTAGGAGCAGAACAGCACCTTCTAAGGGGACCCTGAGTGTGGCACTGGATATTGCTCCTTAGAGGAGTTTAGGGCGGCGCCTCTCTGGTCATCCTAGCAGAAGCAGCCTTGCCCTTACTGGGTGGAGTACACCAGAGACCAAAGAGGGAGGAGCCAAGGGCAAGTAAATAACCTCCCAGGGCATACTTCTAAACAGCTCACTTCACCATCGCAGCACCCCTTGAGGGTGTTTCTCTGTCTTATTTCTTCCATTTTCAGGTGAACCTTTGGCATTTTGCAGTGTACACAGGATGCATAGCTTTCTCTCACCTTCATAACAAATGGCCAAGGATGGGAAGCACAGCCTTGTTGTGTTAACTGGGTCAGAGAGGTTCAGTTCTCCCCAGCATTGCCCACCTGATGTGTAACTGAGCTAGGGTTAAACTCTTAAGCTGGTATCATTTCTTCTTCCTTTAAAGTCTTATTACTAAATTGCATTATTTCCTGCCACCAAGATCCTAATGTATTTTCCCTTGATGAGCTGTTGCCATATCCTTTCCGTTTACTTCATTCACATCTGAACCAGGATGGCCCTTGGGACTCTCCAGACCAGATGGATGTGGTTTGGCTGTCAGTGACACCAAGCAGGTTGGTCACTCTAGCTACCAGCTGGGTTCATCTGCTTGTGTTTGCTGTGGCCAGTTTTATTCCAGGGGTTGGGACTGGGCAAAGAAGACCATTCGCCCTAGGGATTCTACTGACAAATGCCTTTTTTTTTTTTCCCATCTTCTAGGTACATTGAACGGAAGGCTTTTCTAGAGCGTGTGGACCACAGGCAGTTTGAAATTGAACGAGATCTCAGGCTGAGCAAAATGAAGCCTTGACGTGGAGAATCCATAACAGCTCAATCCTGTTGACAATGTGAGCTTTCTATGCATCTGTGAATCTCTTCCAGCGTCCTCTTCTACTATTACCCAGCAAGGTCTTTTTTCTATATGAGGTTTTGTTTGTGTATCTTGATCTCACATGGTTTCACTCATTTTATTTTTAAAAGTTTGTCCTTAAAAAAGTAAATAAAGTCAGTCCTCAGCAAACGTGGAGAAGACAAAGACCTCACTCACCTCCCTTTACTCTGCTGCACAGTCCAGCAGGAGCCCTCCAGCACATCCCAGGCCTGCTGGGAAGGCGGAGGTCTGGCTGCTATGGTGGAGAGAGCTGACTGGCTGGATTGGATGGAGCCTTTGAGGCCTCAGCACTCTCCAGAGTCAGCTGTGTGTTGAAGACCCAGGGAAGGAAGCTTGCTGGGGTGCAGTGACATCGAGTCCTGGGTGTTCTCGATTCCGCTCAGGCTTCTCTGCTGATCGCTGTCTCCTGAATGAGATTCTTACTGATACCATGTAAGTCTGAAAGTTAGGATCTACTGTTGCTGCATAGGGTTCTCCCATTTGTGTCTTTTTCTTTTGTTTCCAAAGAAAAGTCAACATCAGGTCATCTCAGTAATTCTTTAATTTTGGTTTCTCAAAGAACATTCTACAATACTTCTTTTGCACACACCTGCAGTCCCAGCACTCTGCAAGCTAAGGAAGGGGGATCACTGAGTTTGAAACCCTGGCCAAAAAAAAAAAAAAAAGACTCCTTTATTTATTACAATCTGTAAGAAAAGGCTCCTTAGGAGGCTATTACAAGTTTGAGTCCAGTCTGGTCAAAGTAGCAAGATCTTATCTCAAAGATTTTTTTTTTTTTTAAGAAGAACCACTGAGGAGATAGCTCAGTGTGAAGGCCCAGGGTTTAGTCCCTAGTAATAGCAAAGAAAAAAAGCTTTAAATTCCAAACTTCCTGCTTAGAATTAAATATTCGCTAGGGAGAGGAGAAAAAGAATAAGAAGCAAATTTTTGTTGAAGAAGGAAGTGAGAGTAGAGACCATTCATGTTAGTAAAACGTGAAATTGCACAACCTGCTCTGGAGTGGGAGGGTAGAGGTGGGGTTCCAGAGTGGAATCTCTTTCCTGCCCAGACAGCTACCAGCTGTGCGACCTGGACCACCAGTCAGTTTTCTGAGCCTGAGGGACTAAACAAGCTGCTGACAGCCTGATGGGGCCCATCCAGGCCTGTGCAGTCAGTGTTCTTGGTAGCCAAAACATGATGGCCTGTGCTGGATGGTGAGGGTGTTGGAAATACTACTTCCCATAAAGGTAGTTTACAAGCTGCATGTGAACCCACTCTGTCACATCCACTCTGATAAAGGACTCTTAAAAGTGGCTAGAAATCGTTTCAGACCAGCATCAGAACAGGTGGCCTGTGAAGTCTCAGCTGTTTCTGCACTGGAACCCAGGAATAACAGGAAGGTGCTGTTATTCCAGCCAGTGCTTTGATCAGGGTAGGCCCCACAGACCCACAGTGGGGGCCAGCTGAGGTTTAAGGCGAAGGCCCTGCCTGAGCTGCTGCCTGGCCCGTGGCCCTCACCCACTACATTGGCTGCAGCTTCCCCGAGTGCTCTGGAACTCTGCACTCCATTTCACAGGCTTCATCGCAGTGGCTGCTGTGCCACCAACACAGGAGCTGGCTCTTCTCCCTGTTTCAAAATGATCTGGACCAGGGTTCTTCTGTTCATGAATAGTTACACCTTTGAAGCCTAAGAGACTAGAAGGGAAGCTGCAGGACAGGTTGTGCTCCAGGACATGGGAAGTGAAGGATGGTAGTCAGGGGGAATCACAGCTGTGCCTTGGCCTCGCCTGCCTGCTTGAAAGATCCAGTCCTCTCTGAGGTTTCTCCTTCTGTGCCCTGCATTCAGTAAAGGTCACACTCTGTGGAAAGGTCACTTCCTTTCTGCCCCTTTTGATTAGGTGCACATTTTCTCCGCAGGTGTGCTGTGCACTCCTGACTCCACATAGTGAACTTTTTACCTGTGAATCTTGGAAAGCCTCTCCAGTCTTAGTCTCTTTGAAAGGAGCTGGCTGTTATCAGGAGATGCATAACTGTATGCGTCATTCCTGCGAAAGAGGCCCTTCATCCTAATGTCCCACTCTGATATCTTAAACTGATTTGCTGTGACTTCAGCTTCTCCTTGACCTACATGGAGCCTCAACCGTGTGTGTGTGTGTGTGTGTGTGTGTGTGTGTGTGTGTGTGTGTGTGACACAGAGAGAGAGAGACTCACTGTGTAGTTGAAGTTAACTTGAAATCATCATGTAGCTCAGGCTGGCCTCAAACTTGCAGCAGTCCTCCTTCCTCAGCCTCCCAAGTGCTAGGATTACAGGTGTGTGCCACCATGGGTGGAACCTCATCTTTAAAAGCCTCCCATTCTGACCACACTCTGTCTGATTAACAATGCACTTGCCCCAGCTGACACCTGTGCAGGAACTTATGTGCACACATATATGGTGCCTTAGTACCCTTACAGCAGGGTATTAATGTCTCACTGGTCACAGCTGTAGGCCACCTGGAAAAGTACTTACTATTTCCAGGCTTTACTGTGAAAGTCAGATTGAGAGAAGAGAATTTAGGCTTAGGTGATAGGCCAGCAGCCAGCCAGTATACCTGGCACATTTGTCTTTGTCATAACCAACAGCCTTTTTTCCCTTTAATTTTAAAAACTGTCCCAGAAAAGGGGGTAGATTTAAAGATGAAACAAGATGGGCCATGTGTTCGTAATTGTTGAAACTGGGAGAAAAGTGTACTTGATCCATTTTGCTATTCTCTATTTTTATGAGGATTTTAATTTTCATAACAAAACATTTTTTTCTAAATAGTCCCAGAGCTCTGTGCAAGAAACGACTTTCAAGCTGTATGTGGTGGTGCACACCTGTAATCTCAGCATCCTGGAGACTGAGGCAGAGGATTGCTGAGAGTTTGAGGCCAGCCTGGGCTACAAAGTGAGTTTAAGGCCAGCCTGAAACCCTGTCTCAAGTCAAAAGGGGGAAAGAGAGAGAGACAGAGAGAGAGAGAGAGAAGGCGGAGGAGGAGAAAAGGAAGGACTTTGAAGTGCTCAGAGCTGGACCAAGAAAGCACAGAAGTGGTAGGAATGTAGGATGTGGTCTCTGTCTCCTAAGATCCTGTGCCTGTTTTAGCACCTCAGAAAGCAAGCTTTGCATATTCTGCCACCTCATCCTCCTCTGCTGTCTTCTGTCCATTGCTTACTGTGGTGGGTCAAGGTCAAGGAACAGAGGAATCGGTAACTGAGACAGGCCCTGTGTTGGCCACGAGCCACTGTTTTCTGTGTGAGAGGCTGTTTCTTGTAGGTGTGAACCAGCGCCAGGAGCCTCCTCAGCCCTTGCACAGCCATGTGCAGTGGGCTGAGGAACTGGGGCTGCATCGTGCAGGGTCTGGTACCTGCCAGGGGCCCAGGCAGAGGTCTGAGCACATGGGCATCCATGGAGGGTACCTCAGACATGTAGAGGCCACTGTTGGGCCTTCTGTCTGGTTATCTGGGCTGCTGCCTCAGCTGCATTGCCCCCTTTTCCATTCTCTTCCTATGTCACTTTCAAATGCCTGGCCTTCCCCAGTGGGGCCATCCAGGGCAGGGGTGCTGATTAAGCACATTTGTATTCAGTCAAGAATCACCTTTGGGGGCTGGGCATGTGATTCAGTGGTAGAGAGTGCCTAGCACCTTCACAGTCCTTGTTTTCAAGTGCTGTTTCAAAAAAAAAAGGCCCATTTCATCAGAGTGTCCTACAAACCATGGCAGACTGTCTGGCCCATGGTTTGTGAGGACAGGGGGATCATACTTTATCTGCCTCTTCAAATTCACATTTGGTGGAAATTCACTCCCAAAGGAAAAGATGTCCCGTTATCCAGGAGTCGGGAACTGTCAGGGAAATGTTTGCGGGAAGTGGGAAGTGGCAAGAATGAGTCAGTGCCCGGGCAGGTCGGCAGCCTTGGGCCAGCTCCAGTGTCCGGCCCTCGCTGTGGCCTGAGTGAGTGGTGCACCCGTCCAAGGACACCTCTTAGCTATCCTGCAGAGTCCAGGGACTCCCCAGGAGTTGAGCCTCCTGCCTTGCCCTGACCGGCAGTCCTGTTTCTTTCCTTCTTTCCGTGTCCCAGTTGAGTGTCAGATTTCCAGGTCACCTATTACCTTCTCCTTACTGAAAAAACTGCCCTGAATCTGTGTAAGGTCAAAGAAGGAAGCATCCTCTCCCCATGCTCCCCTCCCGAGTCCTGAGGACCAAAGTGCTCTAATTAGGAACTGAGCATGAGGCCTCTCGAGGGCCTGAGAACTAAACCTGAAGTGCACTCAGTGCTGTCAGAGCTAATCAGGAGGAACTAGGTGAGGGCCCTGGCGGATGGTCCACCTGGGGCCTGTACTCACAGCAGGTCAGCTGAGCAGCTGGCACCGCAGAAGGACATGGGGCACACTAGGGAGGAGCATGGCAATGCTGCCTCTGTGCCCAGGAAGGTGATGGGCTTCCCAGGTGGTTGCCAAGCTGAGCTGGCCCCAAGTGGCATGGCAGGGCATATGTGGTTGGTGGGTGCAGTCTGGTGGGACTTGGGGCAAGGGGCCTACAGCAAGCACTTAGCAGACTGCTACCTTTGGATGTGAGTCCCTTGCCAGAGCTAGAAGCAATCAGGCATTTTGGGAACACTCATGGCACAGAACTGAGCAATCAGGAAGTGGTATGAGCATGGTGGCTCCTGGGCAAAGAGCTCTTGAGCAGAAGAAGCTCATCCTGGTATCAATGAGGAATCCATGGTCCCACATGCCAGGGCCTTCTTTCAGCTGTCTGTTAGGACCCCTCCATTTCCCAGAGGAGATGACTTGTCTGATTCCCCAGGCACCAGCCAGTGGTCCCATGCGCAGGGCACAAATGCAGGGCCCCAAGGGGAGCGGCAAGATGAACAACTTCTCCTTACCTTCTGCCGCCTCTGCTGCTGAATGGCTCCTGGGAAGGAAGATTGGAGTGCCAGGAGATGGACAAACTCCGGATGTGGAGACAGACTGAAAGGAATGGCAGCTGACCTCCCAAAGATGAGGTGCACCGGCCACAACCTGAGTCCTGACCAGTATAAGGGCTCTGCAGGGGCAAGTGTACTGCTGAGAAGCTCTCCCGGACACTGGCCCAGCCTCCTCTATAAAGTTCTTTGTGGGTGTGTGCATGTGTGTGTCTTCTTGGGACAGGGTCTCACTATGCAGTTCAGGCCAGCTTTGAACTCAGTAGCTCAGGCTAGCCTCAAACTTGAGGCAATCCTCCTGCCTTAGCTTCCTAAGTACTGTGCCCAGAGATTACTGGCATGCGCCACCATGCCTGGCCTATCCACAAATTCCTTGCATGCTGCTGCTTTGTATATGTGTTCTAAGGAAACTTGGATCCAAAAATCCAGATGCCGTTTTTTTCCACAGGCAAGTTGACCTCATCAAGGAACTGGGAAGGGAAAGTTGAATGGAGTCCTCCCTTGGCCCTGCAGCGGCTCTGACCACACAGCCCTCCTTGGTTTGCACCTCTCTCCTTGTCTGAGACCCCAAAATGGGCAGACTTTCCAGAGTCTCTGCATACCTAAGGGACAAGGTGGCTAAATCAGGAGGGTGACCCTCAGGCTCAGGCACAGTGGGGCACCCTGCCTCGAACTTTCCTCGCTCTGATACTGCTGAGTCCCTCAGCCTCTCTGAGTCTCAGATTCCTCACTTCAAGATGCAGCTAAGAACCTTGGTACATTGTATTAAGTGAAGCCACTCTCCTGGGGATTTAGCTCAGCGGCATAAGCGCCTGCCTTGAAAGCAGGCAGTCGTGAGTTCGATCCCCGGTACCGATAAAAAGGAAAAAGATTAAAAAAAAAAAAAAAAAAAAGTGAAGCCACTCTCCGGGTGCTAAGATACTGTAATTCAGCTGTGTGCCTCCTCACCCCCAAGAAAGCCGAGCTATCGGAGTAAAAATTAGTACCACTCTGAAGAACACTTGGTGTTGCCTCACAAATCTGGAGCCGAACCTGGCCACAACACAACTTTTTGGGTTTACATCCCAGAAGCCTTGGTGTGTACAAAAGGAGGCAGGGTTATTGGCAGTCATCAATCCCTGGAAACCACTGTAGTAGGGGAAACATTTCTCCTGTATCCTTAGGGTTGCAGATTAAATGGATATTAACAGATTAACAGAAGAAAAACATAAACTATATAAACTTTAGCTTTTTGTTTTTCTTACATAGAAGTCTTTAAGTCTTGCATAGAAGTCTTTAAGAAATATGAAGATGCAAAGAAGCAGAGGTGAATGTTTATATGCTGAGCTGGAGGACAGGGAAGTGGTTCAGGGTTGGTACACTTGCCTCACATGCATGAGGCCCTGGGTCCCATCCCTAGCACCACAATAGTAAATGTTTATGTGCACACATACATGAACTGAATTGAGTCAAGGATTACTGTTGAAATATGGGGGGGGGGGCAGTTCCCAGGACCTTCAAATTTAGCTGCGTCCCCACCCTTTTTTTTTTTTTTTTTTTTAATTTTGAGACGGTCATACTAAGTTGTCCAGCTAGGCTCAAACTAGGCTCAAAGCTGCCTTAGCTTCCCAGAGAATAGGGATTACAAGCATTTATCATCACACACAGGAGCAAAAAATGATTGGGAAAATGTGACAAAGCAAAGGGTCCTGAGCTAAGGTCAGTGACTGGGGAAGTGACAAAATAAGAGTGAGTTAGTCTAAGTTTGCATATGCAGATTTCTCTCTGCCTTCCTAGGTGACAAAAACATCTTTCCTTCTGGAGTAGGGAGGACACATTTCACATGGGTATTTTACCTACTGCTATTAAGAGGAAGAAGAATGGTCAGAATATCCTTCTGGCATCTACTCTTTCAGGGAGTCAATAGTGCAGAGTAGCATATTTTGTGATGGCCTATTCTGAACACCACCACCCAGTGACCCCCAGGAAAATGGGTCTGTTGTAAAATAGACATGCACCAGCACATGATTCGGCTGCGGAGAGAATGAGCTGGGGCCGGGTGCAGGTGAGAGCCTTGTAGCCAGCATGGATGCCAAAAGCAAGTGCCAGGCACAATGGCCTACACCCATCATCTCAGTTACTCAGGTGGCTGAGGCAGGAGAATCACAAGTTCCAGGCCAGGGGCTGGGGATTTAGCTCAGCGGCATAAGCACCTGCCTTGCAAGCAGGCGGTCGTGAGTTCAATCCCTGGTACCAATAAAAATGAAAAAGACAAAAAAAAAAAAAAAAAAAAAAACAAGTTCCAGGCCAACCTGGGCAATTTAGTGAGATTTTGTCTCAAAATGAAAAAGTTTAAAAGGACTGGGAATGTTGCTAAGGGTAGAGTACTTACCTAGCATTTATGTGGCCCTACATTCAGTCCCCAGCACCACAAAAAATAAAATGGTTAGTGTTATATCCTGTGACTTGAATTAAAAACACAAAATGTACTCTGTATTGATTGGTTTAGAATGCACTGATACAGTGATAAACAGGCTCAGCTGGTGGACACCACTTAATGGAATAGGGAAGATCTTATGATAAGATGCTGAAAAGGGCATTTACAGGTGCAGCACATGGTTTAATTCAGCAGGGAGTGACATAGATAATTCTTGCACATTCATCACATCCTGTTTTTCTGACGTGTTTCAGTATCTCATCTCAGCCTCCCAGAATCCAAGGGAAGGACAGTTCAAGGATGGAAGCGTTGCCATGGTGATGCATTTGCTGCCTTTCAGGAACTTTCTCTGCGTGTCATTCTGGGATAGCAGACATCCCAGGGTGATCCCCCAAGTGGGTCCTGGAGCAGAGTGACTCACACAGGTGCCCGCTACTTCCCTTGAAAGGCCAGCTCTGAGTGGCAGGGGGAGCTGAAGGGACCGGGCCAGGCCTTGAGGTCCCTCCTAGCTCAGCTGCCTGGTAGGACCATTCCTGCCAGCCAGTGGCATGAAGCCTGAGAGTCAGCCTCCATCACAAACACTCCTGTCATGGCCCTGACAAACACAGAGATGGGATATGAGAGGCCACATGTTATGCTTTGTGTCTAGATGTCCCCCCAAAGCTTTGTGTGGTCACAGATGGGGCTTTTTCAGAAGTGGCTGAATCTAGAATGTGTGACACAGAATTAATTCACAGTGCACTACTAGGATCAAGGACAGTTGCATCAAGTGTGTGAAAACTAGTTGCCCTAAATAGCCTGGATAAGGTTTAAGGGATAGAAAGAGCTGTGGTCATCCCTTGTTGCTTTGCTACTTTCTGCTCACCATGAACTTTTTCTCCTCTGTGATGCGTGTCTGCCATGCCACCCTGTCTTAAAGCCAGCTGATTATGGACTGAAATCTTTACAAACTGTGAGCCAAATAAACGTTTCCTTCTTTAACTTTGGGTGTTGACTATTTTGTCTCAGCAACAAGAACAATAACTAAAACAGAATTGGTACCAGAGAAATGGGGACATTGCTGTGACCATATCTTCTTTTGTTTGTTTGTTTTTGTTTTTGTTTTTGTTTTTTGGTGCTGGGGATCAAACTCAAGACCTTGCACTTGCCAGACAGGCACTTATGCCACTGAGCCAAATCCTCAGCCCCTTTGTGACTATACCTGACCATGTGGTTCAGGAGTTTTTCAGAACAATTTACAGGAAGAGTTTGAAAAGGTACAGAGATGCACCCAAAAAAGTAAAGCTGGAACACCTTAGGCTCTACTTGATGGGAGATTCTGGTGAAAACTCAGAAGAGAGGGGCTGGGGATTTAGCTGGGGCTGGGGATTTAGCTCAGCGGCATAAGCACCTGCCTTGCAAGCAGGCAGTCGTGAGTTCGATCCCCGGTACCGATAAAAATGAAAAAGACAAAAAAAAAAAAAAAAAGAAAAAGAAAACTCAGAAGAGGGGGCTGGGGATTTAGCTCAGCGGCATAAGCACCTGCCTTGCAAGCAGGCCGTCATGAGTTCGATCCCTGGTACCGATAAATATGAAAAAAAGAAAACTCAGAAGACCAGAAGTCAGACAGAAATCCTGCTGGTAAGGATTAGGCTCAGGAGGCTGCTGCTGGGAAGAAGGACTGCATTGACAGTTGGGCTCCACATGGTGTGTGTTATACTATCTTGGGAGAAAGTTTACATTTTGCTTATGTTGAGAGACTTTGCCTGAGACTGAGATTAAGGGCAGCAGACTAAATCTTTAGACTGCCTTCAAAGAAATTTGAAGGCAGTCTAATGTTGAGGCACAAATGGCATGGCTGTTGTTAGAAGCTTTTAGACAGATCTGTGTTGAGAATCAAGAGCAAAGCATCCAGCAGAATGATTTTGTTTTGAATTTGGCAAAAAAGGAAGCACCTGTAGAGCTTTGTAGTGTAAAGATAGAGCAGAGGAGATCTTGATTGAGGAATAACAGGAGGATAGAAGAGATGGCCTGAGGACATCACAGGAAGCAGCAGGACTCTATCCTTAGCAGTCTCAAAAAATGAAAGATTGCTTTGAGAAGAGAGCCCCAGAGCACCATGTTCTAGAAAAGCAGTGGCCTAGGAAAGTTGTTCCTCAGGATTTGGTTCATAGGCACTTGATCCCTAGAGGATGCCTGGTTACTGCCCCAGCTAGCAAGAGACTTTGGCATCATCCATGTGGTGCATGCAGAATGGAAGAGTTGTGGGGTCAGAAAGGCTTCTACCAGATTTCAGAAGAAGGCCTGGGAGGCCAAGTAAGTGGTGTGTCCCTGAGAGGCCAATATGTGAAGCTGTAAGTGTGAAGCCAAAAGTTTTTTAGAGACCCCAGAAATTTGGAGAAATTTGGTCATCTGAGGAAAGCTACAAGGAAGGAGTAGAACCCACCCAAGAGAAACCATGGGAGCTACAACCAACAACAGTTTGGTAACATCTTGGCACAGATTTCCTCAAGTGCTGCATGTGAACTACAGGACTTGATATTTGCACTGTTAGTTTTGGACTTGTTTTAGTCCCAATCCTTTGTATTCCCATTTTTACCTTTTGGAATGATAATGTTTATCTTGTTCCATTCAATGTTGAAAGTTTTTAACTCTCTTTTCATTTGTACAAAGGCCTGCAAGCTGAGTTTGCTCTAAATCTCAGAGAGGATTTTGGACTTGGACTTTTCAGCAGTGACGAAACTGATAGGACTTTGGCAACTCTTAGAGATGGACTAAATGCCTTTTGCATAAAGGGATGTGCATGAGACTTTGAGGGTCCAGGGATAGAATGTTATGGCTTGTAGCTGTTTTTTGTTTGTTTGTTTTTTCTTTTTCTTTTTTTATCAGTACCAGGGATCAATCTCAGGACCACACGCTTGCAAGGCAGCTGCTGAGCTAAATCCCCAGCTCCTGTTTGTTTTTTAAACAGGGTCTTAATAGGTAGTTCAGGATGGCCTTGAACTCAGGCTAGCTCCAAACTCACAGCAATCCTCTTGCCTCAACCTCCTGAGTGCTAGAATCATTGCAGGCATGAGCCACCACGCCCAGCAATGGCTGCTTTAGATGTCCTCTCAAAACCTCATGTGGTGGGGCTGGGGATTTAGCTGAGTGGCATAAGCACCTGCCTTGCAAGCGTCCAGTTGTGAGTTCAATCCCTGGTCAAAAAAAAAAAAAAAAAATTCATGTGGTCAGAGGTGGTCTCCTTCAGAGGTGATTAGATCTAAAGTGTGTGATTGAGTCATGATATAATGCTGGGATTAAAGGTGTGTGATTACCAAAGCAGTCCACTGATTGGTTTAGCATTGCCTTAATCCCCGTAGTCTGGATAAGACAAAGGAGGCAGAAAGATGCTCTTAAGGTTCCCTCCTTTGTTGCTTTTGCTGTCTTCCACCATTATGAGCGGTTGCCCCTTGCCTTGGTGGTGCCAGTTGATTATGGACTGAAACCTCTACAAGCTCTGAGCCAAATAAACCTTTCCTAGTGTAACTTTAGTTGTCGGGTATTTTGTCTCAGCAGCGAGAGGAAAGTATCTTAGACAACATGTAAGAAGGGTATCTCGGCAGGCCTCCGTGTGGGGGATACAAAGCCATTGGTTCCTGACCTGAGAAAATGAGCTTGAAATTTGAATGCACCAGAATGAATTAAGTCCCTGTCCAGGTTTTCTGAAGAACTCACAGCAGGGCAATCTCCAAACTCTGTCCAGGCCCCAAGGCCACAACTGTGACTTGGGGCTACAGTGGGTGCCTTCTCAGTGTCACCAGAACTACTCTGACCAACCACTCCCCAGTCTCCTGCTTCTCCACTAATCACTTGCATTGTAACTGGGCCTACCAGATTGCCAAGCAGCCTGAATGACCAGTGGAAGGCATTTTTAAGTTTCTTGGTGTCCAAGGGCATGATCTCAGGCAGGTCACCTCCCCTCTGCTTGCTTGTAGCAACCCATGGTTCTGTTACGGCTCTACCCCTAGCTGCACTGTCAGACCTTTGAATCTGAGATTCAAGATCTTGAGACATGGGGAAGGAAAAATGCCCATATTCTAGTTACACCTCTGCCAGCCTTGTACCCACAGTATTTGACGTGTGCCCTTAAGCCAGCTGGAATTAACTGGCCTAGAAATGGTGACAATAAGCAACACTGCAGGCCTGTTTTGTTGTGTTACATTCTGTTTTTGCAGTACTAGAGACTGAACCCAGGGTCTCCACACTAAGCTATGTCTCTGGCCCTTTTTTTTTTTTTATCGGTACCGGGGATCAAACTCACGACCACACACTTGCAAGGTAGGCGCTTATACTGCTGAGCTAAATCCCCAGCCCCTCTAGCCCTTTTTTAAATTTTGAGACAGTCTCCATAAATTGTCCAGGCTGGGATCTAACAGGTGATTGTCCTGTCTCAGCCTCCCAGAGTGCTGGGATTACTTATAGGTATGTATTCAATGTGCATCCTGTATAATAAACTGTATTAGCAAGTATAGCAGTTTCCAGAGCCTGTGAGATGTCCTAACAAGCCATCAAGTCTGATAGGGGTAGGGGTGTGGGAGCCCCAGAACTCATAGCCAGCCAGAAGTGTGGGCTAAGTAAATGGGCACCCCGTTTGCAGCTGGCATCCACATGGGGACAGTTTTCTGGGGCTGAACCCTCTCTTACCCTGAGAAACAGGGTAGTCAGTGTCAGAACTGAACTGGATGGTTTCACATCCAATTGGTGTTGGAGAACTGATTGGTGTTAAGAAAATTCACAGGCCCGACTTTTGTCTAACCATTCCCTTAAGGCTGGACAGCTGCCGTGGGCAAATCGAGGGGCAGTGTGATGCACTGAAAACATTCACATCAGACACCCAGATTCTAATCCCAGCTCTTCTGGCCAGCTGGTGTCCTGGGGCTCATGGTCTGGCCCTCTGCCTTCCCCAGTCGTTTCTGCCACTGTAACCTTAAGGGGTACATTAAACAATGCCTGACATTTAACAGTAGGGCCTTGTTTGTTTTTGTTTGTTTGTTTGTTTGTTTGTTTGTGTTTGTTTTTGTTTTTGAGATAGGGTCTGGCTATACTGTCCTGGCTATCCCTGGACCCACTCCCTGGACTGACTCCTGGACTCAAATAGTACTCCTGCCTCAGCTTCCCAGTAACTGGGACTACAAGACATGCTGTCATACCTACCTCAGAACATACATTTCCAAAAAGCAGGAGGTGATTTCTTAGGCACTACGGGGTTTGAAAACTATTGCTTCTGGCCTCCCTAGCGGTATTTAAAAAAAAAAAAAAAAAAGGTAAAAGCCTCCAGCTAAAGAAAATTACATCTTCCTTTATTCTTGCCACTTCAAATAATTTGAATTCCAAAATTCCTGCAGCACAGGAAAACCTTAATGAGTAAGCCACCCTGTCCCTCCCTGCATCCGCTGAGACTTACCTGCCTGAACTTTCTCCTTCTCCCCAGTCTTTGGAGTCAGTCCAGGAAATGGCTCAGCTGCAGCCTCAAAGTTGTCAGGAACTTGGAGAAACAGCTGAAGTCAGGCCTGGGAAATCAGCAGGGAATTCAGGCAACAAAATCTCCCCAGGTCCCCACAAACACAGCTGAAGAGGCATCCTCTGCTACACAGGTGGTGAAACCCATCTGTGCGCCTATACCAGCTAAGCTGAGGTTGTAGTGTGGCTGTTAGGTTCCCTGGACCCTTGGAGATACCACCACCACCATCATTCGAACGTCTCTGTCAAAACAAGCCCTGTCGAGAGACATGAGGATCTCCCAGCCCTGGCCAGTGCACTAGTGCTAGGACCTTCCTTCCTGAGCTGGGCCACTGTGGGCTTTTCTCCCCTTCCTCCCTCTCACTGCTGTTTAGGGGTAGGAACAGCACTGCAGCACTGGGGATCAACCCAGGGCCTTCACACCGCACTGCGTCCCTAGTCCTTGCTTCCCACTGGTTTTCTTATTACAGAAAAAATCAGTTCATTACTGGAAATTTTGA